GGAAAAAAGGAAAAAGCTTTTTCCTCGCCTAGAGTGGATATGGTAACAGGCTTGTTTAGTAGACCTGGCAATACAGTCGTATGTTGTAAAAGTGTCAAAACATACCAGTATTTAAATAGAAAGCCTTATATGGTCAGCAGTTGATTTAAATAGTAAGCTTATATTTTCTTTTAGGTAATGTTGACTGTGTTTAGTTTGCTTTCAGCTTTATTACCTCAGCGCTTAACATGAAAACAAAATATACCAGCTTCTGTACCTGTCTATAATAATTTATTTATTCAAAGTTTTAATTTTATAGATTGTATATATGAAGGTCAAACCTTTGCTGATGGATCTAAATTTACATTACCAGCCAGTGGTAAATGTGTTGAGTATATTTGTAGAAATGGTGGATTTGGGGCCACCAAACAAGGTAACTAACATAGATTATGACTTTTTACTTTTTCCATAATTTGTCAAGTTTTTCTCATAAAATTTCCTATATTCGTGCAAGTATTTATACAGAATTGAAAATATGTCCTGGTGTATTGTATATCTTATTAAAAGTAGATTTTTTTGCTGATATTTGTAATACAATCCGTAGTGATGCAGTTCGGAGGGGCTGAAAAGAGCCCAGAGAAATTCTGTACTACAGGCTTTGCATGGAAAATATTCAAATCGAAAAGTGTACGCTCATGCCACTGTTCTAGAAATCTTTCGATCATTTATCACTGCATGTTTCTTGCTTGTTCTGTCAGCCTTTTGAGGAAATGAACAAGGAATGAACGATGCACCTAAACTGTATCCCAATAACTTTTAGACCTGTTTTAACTTTACTTTGACGTGTTCAGGGTTATGACTGTTCTTCAATCTGAAAAGAAGACTGCTTGACTTAATGCTCAGAGAAACAAACTGCACGCAAAAGAAAAATTCACTAACAAATAATAATATAATTGAAAGTGCATTGTTTTTTACCGTCAAATGGAATGGCAGAAAATTGTTTGTCTAAATAAATTTGTTTAATAAAAAACTGTTATTTCATCTCATGATAAATTAACAGTTAATGTACCTTTATACAGCATTGGTTTTACTTTTAAAAATTGCGTCATTAAAAAAGGAAATAAATTTCACAGTCATTAGAATAATATTAAACTGCCTGGCAACTTTCTGTCAGTCAATTTTACTGTAGGCCTACATTTACCTGTTATTTTAAACAGTATAGTGCACACATTTTACAATCAAACAATGGAGTATTTCGGAATGTAACCATCCACTACAATCTAAGGTTTGATTCATTCTTTGTAACCATGTTATTCTAGAATGTCAACATGGTGAATCATGCTTTCCAATTGGTCACGAAATGGTCGTCAATTGTTTTAAGAAGGTGTGCGAGAATACTAATGAAGGGATTGGGTTTTCCATCAAGGAATTACGTGAGTATACCTCGTACAGATATAATATAATTATATAATATAGATAATAGGTATAGAATAAGAAAACAAATAGTGATGTTTTTGAAGGTCTAATATTTTCACTATTATAATAATGCTAAAACAATTTTATTGTCGAGTTATTCAAATACGATAACATAAAATTACATTTGTCCGACCAATTCGGTTTTAGAGTCGTTATTTTCCAATTTCTTTAGAAATCAACTTGAAATTAGAATGAGAGAATAGAATGTTTGATTGGTTGATTTGGAAGTTGATCTGTTCATGAAAATTATTTGATATAATAATTTTTGGCATTCGATTTTTATAAAAGACAATTCTCGATCTGAAATTGGTATTACTGTCACCTGGTTTTCAAATACATTTCCTGACAAATATCACGCCATTTACTGGTTACAGCTTGTAGGTAAAAAAGTAGTTTAGGTATTGGTTGACAAAGTATGCATACATTCCAATGTACAACTAATATGGTATGGTACTACGCGTCCTAGTAGGACATCGTGATGAAACAAGCCAGTGTTTTCTTCACTAACATTGACAATTAATTACTGTTACAGAAGATCAAATGGATTTCAATTAATAACTAATAATTGGTGAATCAAATAGGACTTTACTTTGAAATCATGCCTAACTACCAGAAATCATACTATCAATATAGGTTGTGTCAAGGCTTATGTGAATAGAATAAACATGTAATACATTATAAATATTTTTAGAATGTCATTGAGAGGACAATGTTATCCACTTGGACACGAACTTTTCGAAAACTGTGTAACGAGGGTTTGTGAACAAAACGCTCAGGGTGGTATAGGATTCGTCAGTAAAGTAATAAGTAAGTAATGATAAACTCTAAACTTAATAATTGTGAGTTTCCACTGTAAAGCTTGAAGCTACTCTTTTGGGTCCGTGGAGAATGGAAAATATTAGTAGAAATGAAAAGATACAAAAAAGGGATACAAAATATATAGTCGGACTTTGCATTTGTATTAGAGACACATTTATATTCGTATCAGAGACACATTTATATTCCTCTTCAAATTTCAGAATGCCCTAATGGTGATGAATGTGTTGCACCCGGTACTCCATTCAGTGCAACCCTTGACGGTGAAGTATATGGTAATACTGTATGTGAGGTTTTGGCTGATGGTCGTGTTATCTTCCGATACCAACAATAAATCTCTTAAACCACTGTATGTCGTCTCTTTTATACTTCTGATATCGAGGGAGGGTTGGTTTGGATGGTTGGTAAATGACAAGTCCGCTTCGAGCAGAATATCTTGGGAGGTAGAGGAAAACAACTTTTATACCCTAATAATGTAGTCTTCTTTCTTTGATATAATTAATTTGGAATAATTAACATTTTAATAACTTACTGAATGTCAAAGTATCATCGGCGATGTACTTACACAATTGGGAGATTCATTAATTGTATTATTTGCCCGTTTTTATCTGTAAAACTGAATAACCCGTAGAATATAGGGAGGATTTGTTCTTTGTGCAGCTTACTGTGTCATCAATGACAATGTCTCTATGTACAAGTAAATCTGGTTTGCAGTTTCTAAATGTGCACACACCCTATACTATGGACATGGTAGATTGACAGAACAATAAATGTAACGACTTAAACCACTCTGAAACTTGCATCAGCACAAATTGACCATTGACACGCAATAGCACTACTGATTTACGCTAGGTTAAGTATTGTTCGAGCTTTAACACGCACCATCGACAGTTTGCGCCAATTTTGCGCATTGTTCACGTAACTTCACGCAAATGTTTACGTGTCCAAGTTTTGAAAATTAAATGAAAAAATTATCTGAAAACTATGGAATGGTACCCTTCACACACTCCTCACACTAGTTCACCAACACTTTAATCATTTTGTACGCCGAACTGCGTGTCCTTGCGCGGACAGAAATCATGTAAGTGTCAGATTGGCCTTCTAACACATATAAGGATTCTTTTATCATCAAGATTTTAAAAACGTTTGCTAGCGACATCATTCTAACACAGGATAAAGTCGACCTGAGTCCATCGACAACAATTCAAGTCGCTGCCAGATGTTCATAGTTTCGTGAACTAGGACGTAATGTAATCGGTCGACGATCCTGCAAGGGGTAATAGAAAGAACAAGGTTGAAAACCCCTACAGTCTGTACAGGGTGCCCGTCATGTGTCATTTGTGCACAGCCCATGGATGTGCGATGAAAATCGATGAAATATTATCCGATCACCAAGAAAATAGGCCAACATAGACCAACAGTTCGTCAAATGTTATAGTCAGAAAGTTAAGCAGGAGCACGAAAAAGTTAAATAATTGGTCGATGATCATGAAAACCGATATCATTTTTGAATTTGTATAAACCCACGAACAAAAAATTGAAAACTTCCAAAAATTGTAGCCTTTTGAGTTAGCTGAAAATGAAAGTGAACAGGCAGAAGAACGGGTCGACATGTGGGTATTTATGAACGTCTATAGTAAAATAAGTCATTGGGTTGCACTAACAGCCATTGGCAGTACCATGCCCAAGGTGTCCGGAAGACTCATTTCCATTCAAAAAATATCATTACATTATATTGTATCGACTCGTCGAACTTGCTTTAAGTTACTAACAAACTTTATATCAAATTTCTGAAAAGATAGCTATCGGAGCATTATAAAATAGTTTAGTTCTGGGTCTAATCCAAGTCCAAATTTAAGCGACGTGGAAGTTTTCAAATTCACTTCGACTTTGACTTTGAGCTATTTGGAATTCAGACCACCCGTTTCGAATTTACTTCCTACGCTCCTCGGGTTAAACTGTTATAGATCTTTGTTAAAGGTTAATAGAGGATTTCAGTAACCTACTTATATTAATTCAAATTCAATAATTTAAATCATTAGAATAAATACAATGACAATTAAGAAACTTATTGAATAATAAATTCGTGGAAGTGTACGTTCATTATAGCTGATTTAATATCAGTTTGAGTTTTGTCACCGTTTTGAACACAATCTAAAGAGAAATATGGCCCCCAGGAATCTAAATGTTCTGTGTTTTGTGGCAGTAATATTTGTTATCTCAGCTAAAGGTATGGTAGTTTTTTTCTTTTTTGCAAGTTGATTTTTATTTGACCAACTATAAAAAAAACCTGAAAACTAACTTTTTCATTAGACCATTCAATAATTTATCATCCATTGGTTTTGAACAACAAAACTGATAAATTGTGGAAGTTTTACGATTCATTCTTCATCTTAATTCGTATTGAATCTGAAAATATCATATTAGAGAACAGCATCCGTGATTCCATCGTCTAATGAGAGGTTGTTGGAAACTGCGTTTTGATGAACATTCTTACTTTATATTGTGAATATATAAGAACATCATCTAGGCATTTTGTCAATATTTGCAAGAAATTTTGGTTTATATATCAACCAATCCAAAAAAAAATCATACAAATATTACCCATAATCTATTTCTCTGCTTTAGATTGTACTGTAGATATCAATGTATATGCTGATGGTGAAGAGTTCCAGATTGAAGACAGTGGAAAGTGCATAACTTACACATGCACTGCTGGTTCTTACAAACCAACCAAAAAACGTAAGTAATGTTTAACTTTGGATTTAACTCCATAATAATGGTAGAACTGACTCCTCGGTTCAAAAGAAAATAATCAAAATTTATTAACTTATTCTAATTAAACTCTTTTTTGAAAGCTAGATAACGGTGTATCTTTTACGTCACAATCTATTCAATGGTTATCACATGTTCCTGAAGGGGATTAGGATTTGGACGAAATAAATGTTTGTCATTGAACCATCGAAATCGGGAGTGGGATATTATATCTTTTAGTGTATGGATACTAACGCTTATGTTTCAGAATGCCTTGATACTATGACAGGTGCCTGCAAAGATCTTGGCCATAAATTTGAATCCAGATGTGTTACTTACGAATGTAAAGATGACGGTGGTATAATTGGTTTTGTTGCTACGAAAAAAAGTAAGTAAGAAAACTTAAGTATACTGAGGTATTTCGATCCAATC